TTTATCGAGTTTTTCAATTTTTTATATTGATCTAAATCGGGATCAGACAAATTTATTATTTTAGAAAGTTTATTAATTTATCGAATATTAAGTTAAAGGGTTTCTACTGTATATGATTTAAAATTTTAATTACATTACTTATCAACAATTTTATATTGGTTAATGGTTAGAGTGATTTTATATGAAATAATATATTGATAATTAAGTTGTATTTTGTTTTATTTTCACATTTAGTTTTGATTTATAATTTTTATCTTTATTTATTTTTAAATTTGGTCTATCGTAAAATATTATTTTATTTCAATTTTGAAATAATGTCAGCTAAAATATTTAAATAAATTAAGGACAAAATTTAAATATAATTTTTTAAGTGTGATTCTTACTTATTTTCTAATTAAAATATAATAAATATATTTAAATATCAATTAAGTAAAAACATGAACAACTTGCATACGTGTAAGAGAAAATTATAAATCTATCATATATTTATTAAAAAATAATAAGAATTATACCTAAAAAATTATCCCTAAATTTTATCCATAAATTAATTTTAATATTTTATTTATATAACATATTTGTTATTTCTTTTAGTGATAAATTATTAATGATCAGTCGTTAATATATTTTTTCATATTTGCTAAAAAGTGAATTCTACTCCTCCGACTTCTTTTAATTCTTATATCATTTAATTTCTATATCAACCGTTTCAAGTCAGAGGAATTACCTCCCCACAATGTATTTGATATTTTGATTTCTTTTGTTTTGTTTTTATATTTAGTTGAAATTGAAATTTTGATTTATAATTGTGATTAAAATAATTTATTTTTACTTATTTTTTCAACTATACTTTACACTGCACATATTTGAATTTTTATTTTTTATTTTTTAAATATAACATTAAATTTATATATTTTGAAAATTTATAATTTAATTTTTTTGATATGATTATAGTTAATAAATTTTAAATTTTAAATATTTGCTTTATTTTTTATTACTTAGTTATACTCGAATAAAAAATTGTGGGAAGAGAAAAATCGGGTGACTTAAGTTAAAATATTGAATTTCACTTCTTTATCCAATAAAAACTATTTTAAATAACAAACATCAACCTATCTATATAAATATGAGATACTACTCTTCAACTTCATTCCTTTCTAAAAAAAACAGAATACTAACCAAATTATTTTATTTAGCCAAACACACTAAACCCTCCGTTAACATTCTGTCTCTCACTGCCTTCAAATCATGCAAACCCATTCGCTTTCTCTCCAAAACGAGAAAAATATATTGGAACGTTTAGGATCATGCCCACACATTATCAAATGTTTTGGTCACGATCAAACTTTTGAAAATGGGGAAGAGTATTACAATATATTCCTAGAATATGCAAATGGCGGAACTCTCAATGACCAACTCAAGAATCATGCCGGCAATGTTGAATAAACATTAAATGTGTTAGTTTTACATTAAATATGGTAGTAGGAAGGACAAGAGTTTGATAAGTTATGATAGTTATTAGTAGCAGTTATGTTTATGTTTTTGTTTTAGAATTGTAAAAGTTGTTTGGGTCTATAAAAGACCAAGTGTGTAATTTATTTGACAAGAGCAGTATACAAAATTTTATACAGAAGTCTGATTTGAATCTAACAATTTGGCATCAGAGCTCATGGCAAACATGATGAATCAAATGCCGTTACCACGGCTAACGAAGTCAAATTATGAAAACTGGAGTATCCAAATGAAAGCTCTTCTTGGATCTCTAGACGCGTGGGAGGTGACCCATGATGGGTTTGAAGAACCAACAGAAGTTGGAGGATTTACGGCAGCTCAAACGAAGGCGTTGAAAGAGACGCGAGCGAAGGATAAAACGACATTATACATGTTGTTCAGGGTTGTAGATGAATCAGGCTTCGAGAAGATTGCTGGTTCGACTACGTCGAAACAAGCGTGGGACACGTTAGAAAAAGTGTTCAAAGGAGCAGATCGAGTGAAGCAAGTTCGACTCCAAACTCTTCGTGGCGAATTGGAGAGGATACAGATGAAGGATACATAAATTGTATCTGATTACATCACACGTGTGCAAAAGGTGGTGAATCAACTCACCAGAAATGGAGAGACAGTAGCTGATGCAAGAGTTGTTGAAAAGATCTTGAGATCTTTAACAAACAAGTTTGAAAATATTGTGTGTGCAATAGAAGAGTCGAAGGACCTTTCGACGCTCTCAATCGAAGAGCTCACTGGTTCGCTCGAAGCACATGAACAACGAAAGATGAAAAAGAAAGAAGAAGCAGACGAAGAAGCAAACCAAACCAAGGAATCGAACAAAGACGAAAAGGTACTCTTTTCTCACAACTTTCAAGGAAGAGGACGTAGACGTGGAGGTCGTGACAGTGGTCAAAGTGGTAGAGGTAGCAACTTCGAAAGAGGACATTCGAGCCAACAAAATTGGCGTGGCAGAGGACGTGGTCAAAGAGGTGGTCGTTCGAATCATTCCAACTTCGAATGCTACAAGTGTGGGAAGTATGGTCATTACGCGAAGGATTACAACTCCTACAAATGTTACAACTGTGACAAAGTGGGACATCTTGCAAAAGACTGTCGAATCGAAAAGAAGACTGAAGAAACAACCAATCTAGCCTTGGAAACTGAATCGAATGAAGGCTTTCTCATGATGGCTCAAAACGAAATCAACACCAATGACAGTGTTTGGTATCTTGACTCAGGAGCAAGTAATCACATGTGTGGTTACAAACACCTATTTAAAGATATGAAGGGAATTGAAGATGGTAGTGTGTCTTTTGGAGATGCATCGAAAGTGAAGGTTGAAGGAAAGGGCACAATCAGTTACTTGCAGAAGGATGGCTTGATTGGATCAATCGAAGACGTTTACTATGTACCAGATCTTAAGACCAACATATTAAGTCTGGGATAACTTACAGAAAAAGGTGCTTCGATACTGATGAAAGATCGAACACTGCAGTTGAAGGACAAAGCGGGATATCTGATTGCCGTTGTCGAAATGGAAAGAAATCGAATGTACAAACTAAACCTGAGGAACATTCGAGAGAAATGTCTGCAAATCTAAGTGCAAGACAAAGCGTCACTATGGCACATGCGCTTTGGTCATCTACATCATGCTGGTTTGAGAAGGTTGGCAAAAAGGAACATGGTGCATGGACTACCAGACATGTATTTCGAAGGAAAATTCTGTGAAGAATGTGTGCTCAGCAAACAAACAAGAACCTCATTTCAAATGAAGGCAGAGTATCAAGCTAAACATATTCTCGAATTGATACATACTGACATATGTGGGCCAATCACTCCAGAATCTTTCAGTGGAAAAAGGTACTTCATTTCCTTCATTGATGACTTCTCAAGAAAAACCTGGGTCTACTTCCTGAAAGAAAAATCTGAAGCATTAGAAGTGTTCAAAAAGTTCAAAGTAATGGTGGAGAAGGCAACAGACAGACACATCAAAACAATTCGATCTGATAGAGGGGGAGAGTATACTTCGATGGCCTTTGTGAAGTACTGTGAAGAACAGGGCATAAGGAGATTCCTAACTGCACCATATTCACCTCAGCAAAATGGTGTGGCTGAAAGGAGGAATCGAACTATTTTTGACATGGTTCAATCAATGCTCAAAAGCAAGAACATTTCGAAAGAATTCTGGGCAGAAGCAGTACAATGTGCTGTTTATATTCAGAATAGATGTCCACATTCGAAGTTAGAAGACAAAACACCACAAGAAGCATGGAGTGGACAGAAGCCAACAATTTCTCATCTCAAGGTATTTGGTAGTATAGCTTATGCACATGTACCATATCAACAAAGAACAAAGCTTGAAGACAAAAGTCAGAAGTACATATTCATTGGATATGATGAGAAGACGAAAGGGTACAAGCTCTTCAATCTCATAAGCAAGAAAGTGATCGTGAGCAGAGACGTTCGAATGAACGAAGCAAGCAAGTGGGACTGGAACAATTCGACAGAGGTTGCTGACACAGTCGAAGAAACAACTATAGCTGTACCAACAAGTATTCCAGAAGAACATGAAGAAACAGAAGATGGAGATGAACCTCTACAACCCAAAATGAGAAGTTTGCAAGATTTGTATGATTCAACAAGTGAGGTGCATCTTGTGTGTCTTCTGGCAGATCCTGAAAATATCAGTGTCGAAGAAGCGTTAAGAGATAAGAAGTGGAAAAGTGCCATGGACGAAGAAATTAGAGCAATCGAATGCAACAATACTTGGGAGCTAGTCGAATTACCAAAAGGTAGTCAACCCATTGGTGTAAAGTGGGTATTCAAGAAAAAGATGAATGCTCAAGGAGAAATCGAAAGATTCAAAGCACGTCTGGTTGCGAAGGGATACAATTAGAAAGCAGGAATTGACTATGACGAAGTGTTTGCGCCTGTTGCAAGAATGGAGACAATTCGATTACTCATTTCTCAAGCTGCTCAGTTCAAATGGCCAATATTTCAAATGGATGTCAAGACAGCATTTTTGAATGGTGTGCTCGAAGAAGAAATCTATGTTGAAAAACCACTTGGATATATGAGAACTGGAGAAGATAAGAAGGTGTTGAAACTGAAGAAATCACTGTATGGGCTGAAGCAAGCACCTAGGGTATGGAACACACGTATTGACACATATTTCAAGGAGAATGGATTCGAGAAATGTCCTTATGAACCAACTCTCTAAGTGAAGAAAAATGGAAGTAATTTATTACTTGTTTCACTCTATGTTGATGATCTTATCTTTCTAGGTAGTGATGTTCAGATGATCGAAGACTTCAAAAGCACCATGACAAGCGAATTCGAAATGACAGACTTAGGTCTGATGAGATTCTTTCTTGGTCTGGAGGTTCGACAAGAAGAAGCTGGAATTTTCATATCATAAGAAAAGTATGCAAAGGAAATCTTAGAAAAATATAAGATGAATAATTGCAATCCAACTTCGACGCCAATGGAACCAGGTACAAAGCTGTCAAAGTTTGATGGAGGAGAACGGGTCGAAGGAAGCAAATATCGAAGCTTGGTAGGTAGCCTTCGATATCTCACATGCACAAGGCCAGATATTTCACTAAGTGTTGGCATAGTGAGTCGATTCATGGAGGAGCCAATACACACACATTGGAAGGCGCTGAAACGAATTCTAAGATACATCCAAGGAACAGTATCACTTGGAATGTTTTATTCAAAGACAGAAGACTACAAGTTAGTTGGTTATTCTGACAGTGACTGGTGTGGAGACATAGACGATCGAAAGAGCACTGCTGGATATGTGTTTTTCATGGGAGACACATCTTTTACTTGGCTATCGAAGAAGCAACCTATAGTGACACTTTTGACGTGTGAAGCAGAATATGTGACAATATCCTGGTGAGTCTGTCATGCAGTATGGCTCAGAAGGTTGATAAGTAAGATGGAGCTGAAACAGGAAGATCCAACAATAATACAAGTGGACAATAAATCAGCTATCGAATTGGCAAAGAATCCAGTTAATCATGAACGAAGCAAACATATAGACGTTCGATTTCACTTCATTCGTGAACATGTGAAGGAGGGAAGCGTCGAATTAAGGCATGTAGCAAGTAGAAACCAAGCAGCGGATATCTTCATAAAACCACTATCAAAAAAGGTCTTCGACAGAGGCAAGAAGATGATAGGAATGCTGGATGGAAGAAACATTTAAGTTTACAGAGGAGTTTTGTTGAATAAACATTAAATGTGTTAGTTTTACATTAAATATGGTAGTAGGAAGGACAAGAGTTTGATAAGTTATGATAGTTATTAGTAGCAGTTATGTTTATGTTTTTGTTTTAGAATTGTAAAAGTTGTTTGGGTCTACAAAAGACCAAGTGTGTAATTTATTTGACAAGATAAATATACAAAATTGTATACAGAAGTCTGATTTGAATCTAACAGGCAAGCTCCCAGAAAAGCTCGCTCGTCGGTACATAAGTACATTCACGAAAACGATTTTGTTCATTGCGACTTGAAACCACGAAACATTCTTGTATTCGAGAATGGCAACATTAAGATATCCGATTTCGGTCTTGCAGAAGAGATAGGAGTTGAACAAGGTGAAAAGAAACACAAAGGAACTCCAATTTTTATGTCACCGGAATCTGTGATGGACGTTGTGTATGAATCTCCCGTAGATATTTGGGCTCTCGGTTGCACAGTCGTGGAGATTCTTACCAGAGAAGCCGCATGGAACATGGGTTACGACCCGAACTTGTTGGATAGAATTGTAGTTAGAAAATAAGTACCATTTATTCCCGAAGAAATATCAGAAGAAGCAAAAGATTTTCTTAAGAAATGTTTAGTTAGGGATCCACTAAAAAGATGGAGCGCTGAGAAGCTTTTGAAACACCCTTTTATCTCAGATGATGAATCAGTTTCTCCGGTCAAGGAATTAATGTTGTTTTTAGATTTTGAAATATTTGTCACCAAAAAAATTATCAGGTTGAGTCGTGAACTAGATCGCTCTCTTTAAGACGTTTCGCGGTACTGCTCAAAATTATACAAAGCAGTCGAACTACCGCGCCACCTACAAGATAAAACAGCTCAGTTCTATACAGTACGATTACTACTTGTATGGTAGATAATCGGTCTAGAAATAAACAATTTGATGGTACATGACCATTCAAATATAGTATCAATACTACTCGTAGTATCTGGTACAAAGACTAGTCAAAATAATTTTTCAAACAAAGAGAAATTCAAATAATTCTCCAAAGTGAATTTAATAATGGTCATTTGACCACTCATAATAATTTCTCCAACAAAGAGAAATTCAAATAATTCTCAAAAGAGAATCCAAAAAATTAATACTTGAAAATTTCTCAACTCAAATGAGGAGAAATTAAAATAGTTCTCTAAAGAGAATTCAAGAAAATACTCGGAAAATTCAACGAGTAGGAAGAAGGGGAAGAAGATGGCGCTTCGACAATTCGAGAGACGCAGAGTTATGAGAGTGAGGAAGGAAAAACTAATAAAATAGTTTTTTATCTGATTTAGAATGAAACATGTGCACTCCTTATATAGTGAAGTAAGTTAGTTAATATTTCTCACATGAGCAATATAGGACTAAATGATTTTTTCAACCAAAAAGATATTCTAACAATGTGGAACTTGAGAAATTTTTAAATTCAACATTATTGGAAAATGGACATGTTCCAACAATTCTCCACTTGAATTTAAAAAATTGATTTTAGAAGTAACGTCAAACATTTCTAAGATTGTGCATAAACAAAGGTGTCTACAACTTGAACCTTTGCATAGCAAGTAGGATTCCAATTCAACAAGAGTGATACAAATGTCTTGAACTCTATCTCAGACATCAAACCCGCACATAACCTTTTCTGAAGGTGTATTCTAATAGCCTGTGCTTTAATGGCCTTGCACGTGTATCCCAGTTTAATGAAGGCTCTAGGAATTCTTCCTCGAAATTCCATAAGAACCAACCTAAGTTTCACAATCACATAGGTGAGTCTATCAAGAGTACTCCTGTAGCCTAGGTACTCCCTCATACAGAGTATAGATCTCATTAAGAATTTTTATTATCTCGTCCTCTTATTACTTCTGGATCCATGCTTTACTTGCATGATCATCTCATATTACTCACAACTTGTTATTACCCATTGAACATATTTCTTGGGATCTCCAGTCATTTAGGTTGGGTTACCATCATGGGCAACTCATTTTCCTATAGGCATTAGTCTCATCTTATATGATGTATTATAGACTTTCTCTCTAACTAATCCTTTCGTCAAAGGATCTGCTAAATTTTCATCAGTGCGTACATGATCCACTCTTACAGCTCCTTTAGAGATACAATCTCTAACAGTGTTGTGCTTTCTTCTAATTTGACGTCTTTTACCATTATAATAACGATTCTCGATTTTTGCAATAGCCGCGGTACTATCGCAATAGATCAACACAACTGACATATGTTTTTTCCATAAGGGAACCTCAGTTAGCAAGCATCTTAACCAACTTGCTTCTTCACTAGAAGTCACTAATGCTATATTTTTAGGATAATATGTTTCTTTTATTTCCAAGATACAACTCCTCTAGCTATGTTGAATACATAGCCACTAGTTGCTTTGGAATCATCTGATAAGGTATTCCAATCTGCATCATTGTATCCTTCAAGTACAACAGGAAATCTCTGATAATGTAAACTGAGATTCATGGTCCTTTTAAGGTACCGTATGACTCGCTTAATAGCTTGTCAATGTTCATTAATCGGCCTACTAGTAAACCCGCAAAATAATCCCACGACATATGCAATGTCGGGTTTAGTACAATCAATGGAATACCTAAGACTTCCAATGATGCTCGCATATTCTGTTTGTCTAACACTTTCACCAGTGTTCTTAAACAGTTTCACTCTTGGATCATTTTTTGTGCTCACGGGTTTACTGTCAAAGTAATTATATCTCTTTAAGATCTTTTTCAAATATTGTGATTGATCCAAAGAAATTCCTTGCTCGGATCTCGTAATCTTGATACCAAGAATCACACTCGCTTCTCTGAGGTCTTTCATATCAAAGTTGTTGAACAACAATAATTTCATATCATTAATGACCTGAATGTTTGATCCAAATATGAGTAGATCGTCTATATATAGACATATGATAGTGTAAATGCATTTCTCAAATTTGTAATAAACGTATCTGTCACTTTTATTCACTTTGTACCCATTCGATATCATTAAGTTATCAAACTTTACATGCTATTGCTTTGGAGATTGTTTTAGCCCATTGTTTACCCTGTAATTTGGTAAACAACCGCTGATCTTCTAAATCTCTAAAAAAGATTCACTTACTTACGAGATCGATCAGATTGATCTCAGGACTATTGTGTTCTAGTTTTTAGGAAAAGGTTTTGATGATAACTTCTTTAAGCGAAGAGAATCACTTTGATATCAAAATAAAATGTTCTTATAAAAGCAATAAAACAGAAAACTATTCTAGACTGTAAATCGTATAGAATATAAATGACATGAAGAAATTTCATTAAATGTAAATAGCTTTCAAATGTAAATATGGTACATCATACTTACATGTCTCACTAACTCGTTTCTCTAACATTGGTACTTTGAGTATTTAAGTATATTGTACAAAGATGTGAACAAATTGAATCCTAACATCTAAGACTCCTATTTATACTAATTTGACTCTAACGGTCTTTCTATGAGATTACGCCATGTTCGACACCTTTTACATGCATACATCCTGGCACCTCCACGTGTCTTCCTGGCGAAATGTATTAGTTTGAAATTTAAACTTCCCGCTCGAAGCTTTTGAATTTAACCAACGTGACTATCGAAGTATTTCATATATCTTGAAATATTCCTTTCATTTTAAGTTGCCCTTTCGACACATCGAATCATAAAAATAAGTTTTACAAAAATAACCTTATAAGGTCCAATTTCATGTTATTTTTAAACCATGACCTTCTCACATCAACTTTCATATTTTTATCAAATGTTGAAATCTTCATCTAACAAATTTCCCCTAATAAATGTCCATTTCGAATCAATGCAGAAATGGCCATTTTTTGTAATCACCAGATTTCGACTAGCAACCTTTCATTTCCTGACGTCATAGTTAATCATGACTGTTTTTTTCAAAACGTCTCATCAAGACATGAGTGCAACAGTTTCACCATCATTATATACCAACTTCCAAGGACATGAATAATGATCTTTTACTTTCCTCCGTCAGATGTTGACACGTGCCCCACTAACTTCCTGAGGTGTAACCTCCAACGTTTCCACTTACCACTATAAAAAAGTTACCTTTTTTATTATTTATCTTTCTACTTTTTCAAACTCATAAATCTTCACACTCTCTCTGATTTAAATTCTTATTCCTTCTTAAAAAAATTCATCAGTTCTTCAAATCAACAACAATATCTTCCGGTAAACAAGATTTCAAACATGCTGAGAAATCTGGAATCTCTAAAGTTTCATCTTCTCAAAACGTACCAACAAGAAAAATCATCACTTCTGGGAATCAAGAATTTATCACACCTCCCAAACTCACTAGGGAACAAAGAGTCATTTCTGCTTCTCGGGTATTAATTCCTTCTTTGTTTTCTGGTAAAACCTTAGGCTTCTTAGGGGCTTTAATCGCTACAAGCGATTTAGAAAAATATGTGGAATTCTTTCCAACTTATCAAGTTACTAAACCTTTAGCAAATAAAACTATGGCTTCTGAAGAGAACGTCGAGGATTCCACCAAGAAACCTAAAAAGTCTTCTAAGAAAACTTCTGAAAGTATTTCTTCAAACCCTAAGATAAAGAGAGAAGCTTTCCAATTGGATTATATAACTGAGAGCTTTAGAACTTTTAGATCATGTCCAACCTTAGATAAATCTTACTTAGCTTGGCTTACTAAGGTTGAGAACAAAAAAACTCAAGCTTGGAAAGAATTGGGAATTATTGACCTAATTCAAATGTCGAAATTAGGCTTTAGTTATTGCCAGCCTTTTCTGTTAGCTTCCTTGTATTTCTAGGATAGTACCTACAACACTTTTCACCTCCCTTGTGGAATGATAACTCCCACCTTCTTTGATATAGCTGCCATTACTGGACTTCCTCCTACTGAAGAGGCTTTTGATCCCAATTTGGAGTCGGAAAACACTATTGACTTCAATGTTAAAAATTCCTCTTTTAGTACTTACATAGATCTATATCATGTGGACGGTAAAGATGTTTCTGATGTTGAGCATATATATTTCTTAGCTCTGTGGTTATCTAAATTCATTTTCTGTTTCAAATTTCTGCAAGTAGCTAAGAAATTTCTAACCTTGGCGAACCAGTTGCATTCTGGTAGAAAGGTATGCTTAAGTGAGTTGCTTTTATCTAGTTTGTATGAAAGTTTAGGGGCCGATGCTTCCAAACTTAAATATTATGAATTAGGTACCAACTTACTTCTTTCTGGACCTTACTGGCTACTTCAATTGTGGCTAAATGCCACTTTTGAACCCTCTCTTCGAACTGCTGGAAATATTGATGAAAAGGACCCCAAAATAGCAGGTCGAAGCATTGAAGGAATTAGACTCTTACAACTAACTCCCAGTGATGATGCTGAGACCCTTCAAGCTTGCCTCACCAAATATATGTTGATGTTTTCTAAACGTCACAATTTCACTCCCATTGTGGCTCCTTTCGCCAGTAGAACTCATGGTCCCTCCTGGTTTACTTCTTCAATTGAAGATATTGTAAAGAACGCAGATACTGACATTGAAAAC